ATGTTGGAACATGATGAGAAGTGTTGTATCTGCAGTTAAGATCGAAACCACGTAGCACACTGAGGGCAAGCTCGGAGTAGTTGTCTTGTGAGAAGCATGCTACTGGTAGCTGCTTTCCTAATAGGAAAATGAACCTCCGTAGTTGCATTGCCCAATTACCGTTCATGCCAATGTAGTCTTAAATGTTTGTCTACACATCCAGAATGTATATAAAATGAAGATGAAAGAAACAAGTTTCTTATTTTTGAGATGTTTTTAGTCAGACCTTGGTTTTTAAAACATGAAAACCTGAGTACAAATTAGAAGTTGTGAATACACATAATAGTACAGGATTAGTATTCAGGTTTGTTACTACTAGATTTAAGGAAAGTAATTACTTTCCTAAATACTGTCTTTTCATGCCGTTTCTGTCTTTTTGTAGTCCAAATGCTAGTGAAGTGTGTAGAAAAACACATGCTTGTTTCCACACACATACCTCCCCCGCTTGCCCAGTCCTCTTTGGTTCTGCCTGGTGAGTCAAAGCGCTCTTCATCCCTTGCAGGGTGCTGTTGCTGTCCATCAGTTAAGTGTCTTCAGCACTGCATTATTTTCAGGAAACCAATATATGTAGTACTTCTATTAAATATGCCTTTTAATGTCTGATTTGTAGACAATAAGATCAGGACAAAAACTACTGAAGAAGAAAACCACTGAAGAAAAAAGAAGTGGAGGATGGTTTGGTAGTTTCTGGGCTAGAAAAGAATCTAGGAAAAAGGAAGATGAAGAATCACCTGTTCCTGAAAGTAGGTGTCGACTGTAAGGCACTAACTTCTGTAGAGACTTTTAAGTTTTTGTATCCACTAACAAGAAAATTATAGTATGTTTTTCTTCCTACTGTGCAGAAGGAGAGTGTATGGCATAAAGAGTGCAGTATTGATCCATTTTATTAGCTTTATCCATAGTGTTACCTTTAATGAATATTGTGCTGGCAGCTAAGGCGTACATCTGAAACGGCCGTAAACATTTCAGAATCTTGATAAGGAGAAGAATATGGAGCTTATGGCTATAGTGTAGTAGGTGATGACTGCAGTACTGCATTCTGGTGGTTTGCTGTCTGGACCAAGGGTTTGATCTGGTACTCCTCAAAGCTTCTTTCTTCCTTGGGAATCATAGGAGCTCTTGTGACATGAATTGTATTAATTTCTGTGCAACGTAGGTAGCGCTGTACACAAAGGCTGCCTCTGTGTAAATTGTTTTACAATGTGGAACTTAAAGGAATATGAAGAGTCAAAGAAATGTTGAAGTGCAAGTTTTTGTGGATTTTTGGTTTCTAGCTATCGATGAATTAATGACACCAGAAGAGAAAGCTAAGCTTTTTACTGCTATTGGATATAGTGACAGCTCACGTGACCTTTCCTTGCCAAAGCAGGTAAGCAACTTGTTATGGGAATGTTTAAATGAAAAAAATCCAAAACCAGCAAACCAAAACCTTATGATGTATATTAGCCTTAAGATAAGCAGCAGCTTTTGTGCAGTGCAAGTCAAGTCTGCGTTGAGTGTACAGAGAAACCCTGATCTGGAGTGATTTTATTTTTTTTCTTGCTGTTCCATGCGTTCCTTGCTTACCTGCCTAGAAAAGCTTCCATTTTTAATTTGAACAAATTTAAGGGTAAAGGTGATTTAATCTCTCTCAGTACCTGAAGAAAGGTGCAGGCTTCAGATTCAGATAAGGTGTATTGTTTGATTCTTAAGTTGCTGACTGACACAATCATAAAATGGTACATGTGTCAAGAAGCTAAAACCCTTTCTTGACAAGGTCGAGACACCATTCAGCAGCAAAAGAATAGAGACATATACGCAATATCTTCTAAAATGTACTTATTTACTGGAGTTATGGTGATTTTTGCCTGTTGATCTTAACTCCCTGCTGAGAGTAGTTTAGCTGTGCTTGCTTTTGTCATTTACAAAACCAAACTTCCCTGAATTCTGAAGAGATAGAGACTGTATGTGCTCTGCTTTGTTCAAGTACACAGGTTTTTGTTTAAGAAATGACTGATAAGGGTTGAAAAAAAGTAAAGACTCTATACAATCACTTCCTACAGAGGGATATGTTTCTTATCTTAATCAACTGAAATAGCTTTAAATACCACATTTCATTAGATCTATTGAAATTAGGAGTTCTGAAAAATTCTTCCTATCAAGATGACTAATGTCAATTTTCTCTGTCCTTCTCAATAGTACGTGGCCCATGTTGTGACGCTGAAGCTGTTAAGCACTTCTCTTACAATTAAAGAAGACAAGAACGTGGCAGAAACGCTTAAAGTACAGATAATTGATCTGAGTACCAAAATATCACAGCGCCCAGGAGCACAAGCCATTAAGTAATTGGATTGGTATTTTCTTTTTGTAGAAACATCCTCCCCCCCAACTTTGAAATTTTTACTTGAGTAGTGCATTATGTTGTATATTGACTTTTAAATTTATGGGCAATCTGCAGTTGCACTCTGAAAAATTACAGTCACGTAATTTGATGAATAACATGGAATGGAATGAAGAAAGGAATGCTGTTTGTTAGTCAATAATGGTACTGTTTTTTTCTTGAATCCAAATGTTGAAGTGCTGAGTATTACTTGCAGGAAGTGATACCTTAGCGTGAAATGGTCTGGCTGGCACATTCCAGCCAAGCTACTATTTTATTTATATATTTTGTATAGAGAGAGAGAGGGCACACCAGCAATATTGAATACAAATTATTAGATTATACAGTCAATGAATAAGATTTTTAGTGTCTGGAAAATGAGTTTGTGCACTTCCAGGCTTTCGTCTGCAGTTCCTTTATCTTCGGACTTTATGCATAAGATCACCAGCTCAGCTGCTGACTCTCAAAATATTTTTTGTTGAAAACAGTTTTTAGGGATATTAAAGGCACATCCTGAATGCTGCACAAAAATAAAAACAGCTTTGTACAGAAGTGCATGCCATGTAATTTAGTTGGCAAGACTGAAAGAGCAGAACAGGTACTTTTCTTGATTTTTAGGTTTCTGGAAAAATACACTGAGGTTATCTCAGTGGAGCCAGGCTTATGATACTGATGCCCAAACTGTGTTGCCTCCCAGAGTCAGGGATTCCAGTAGTGGAGACCCAGGACCAAAAATCAGTTTTGTATCTGATCGATACTTCTAAGGACGAATGAAGTTTATGTGGTTTGGTGGTGTTTTGCCATGGTTTTTCAGAGGCGTTTTTCTACTGACTCCACATAAAACTATTGTCAGGGAAGCTGTCAGTAAGGAATACCCACTTGTAAACAAATAAATCTATAACTGATTTTCACATCAATTGTGAAAATGTGTGGTTAATATCCACACTCTTTTTCACTTGTAGCATAAATATTCTGCCTTTTTCTTGCAACTGCTTCTGTTAATAAATAAGAGCTGAAAGTTGTATTCAGTCCACTTTGCAGATACCAGAAGGTAAAAAAAAACACATCACCTTTGTGTTGCTGCAAGAAACTTGCCTCCTGTTTGTGTTTCCAACTTGCTAATGTAACAGTTTCTTAACTGTGTGGTATGTTAGTCCTGTGAGGCTTGTCATGTTTGGCTTGATCGAAGGCTTTCTCGCCTTCCTTGTCTTGCCTAGATGGAACTGTTCTGTGTTCTAATGAAGTATATTTAACTATTCATCTACTTTAGGGTTGAAGCAAAGCTTGAAAACTGGTACGTTACAGGCTTGAGACAAGCAGACATTGTACCATCTCTTGTGGCTTCCATAGGGGATAGCAAGTCTTCTCTGCTTAAGATAGAGTTCAATGTTAACCCAGAGGATAGTACTGCTGACCAGAGTCTTACCATTGAATCACAGCCTGTGGAAATAAAATACGATGCAGTGAGTAGGAACCGAAGTTCTTACCTCTTTCTGAGTCTCCTTTCTCTGTTGTTATTCTCTGTGCTCTGTCAAGATCTATTTTTGAATTTTTATGGAGTCACTTCTGTGTATATTAATAATTATATTAATAATTCTTGTCTTTTTTTTTTAAACAGAAAACAATAAATGCAATGGTAGAATTCTTTCAGACAAGTAAGGGAATGGACCTTGAAAGATTAACATCAGCCACATTAATGAAGCTGGAAGAAATCAAGGAAAGAACCGCTACAGGTAAGATAACACATCTCGCTTGAACTGAACCCTTGAATGTCTTAAAATGTTTTGATGTGATTTTCTAAACACTTATGTTTTGCCTCTTGGCAAAATAGTAGGGCTGGGTTTTTCCCTTGAGTTTTTAACTTGGGAGATTAGTGGATGGTCTGTGGGAAGGAGCACCGAGTTTAGTGGGAAATCAGAAGAATGTTACAAATGGAAGTCTTTACTCAAGATACGTTATCTTTCAGATAGATGGCATCTCTTTTATGTACTGACTGGCAAAAAATGTTTCATTTATGAATAGCATTTCAATTTTAATGTCCCTCTTTATTTAAGGATTAGTTCACATTATTGAAATGCGGAAAGTCCTTGACTTGAGGATTAATCTGAAACCTTCCTACCTTGTGGTTCCACAGACGGGTTTCTTCCATGAAAAATCAGATTTGCTAATTTTGGACTTTGGTACATTTCAGGTACATAAATGATCTCCCTTATAAGTTCAAAGGAAAAAAGCATTCTTTTCTCTTAACATAGCAGTTATCTGAAACAATTTTGTTTAGAGCAAGTAAACATCTATGTGAATGCATTTTAACTTACTGTATTTCTTAATAAATTGGGTCAGCAGTTTGATCAATGCTCAGAGCTGTTGTCTTTGACATACTTGTACTAGTTCATGTCCCCGTTATGTTTTGTAATCTTGATTGTAGTAGCTTCTTTCTTTCATTTCTTCAGCAAAACAGATGAACTCCTGGGTTGATTTTTTTTTTTTAATAAGATGAAAAGCTTATTAATAAAAGACAATCTTTTTCTCTTTGAATTTTAAAATTGATTCCCTTGTTCCTGTAAAGTTGAAGGATTACAATAATTTAACTTGATTTTAGCTGACTGATTAAATACTTCTTTTAGTTGTACTCCAGCAGTAAACTTGTGAACTAATAAGAAAAATTCTTTTAGCATAGCTTAAAGTAAGTGGATTGATAGGAATTCTTGCAAATTGTGAAATGAATTTAAGAGTCCAAATGTCAATTGTCAACTCCTATGAATCATCTTTTTCATCTTCATTAGAATTAATAGCATGTGTGTCTAAGTTTTAGACTTTATCTTGTTAAGTTCTGTATTTATGTTCTTTATGTTTTGTATTTTCATCTTCATTAGAATTAATAGCATGTGTATGTAAGTTTTAGACTTTATCTTGTTAAGTTCGATATTTATGTTCTTTATGTTCTATGTTTAGCTGAACAGCATAAATCAAGGCAGTAC